CTCCTTAGGATTGGCTACATTAGGGGTGTGTGGCCTAACATGCAAAGAAGTTCTTGCTACAAAAAAAGCCCTGGGTTTTGACAATAAACAAAGTAAGCAGAATAAGAAGCAAAAGGTGGGTGTGGCTGGATGACCACACTTCGGGTAACATGTGGGTGTGGCCTAATATGCGAATGAGTTGTGCTGTCAGGGTGTGGCCTAATATGCTAATGAGTTCCTGCTGTTGGGTATTGCCTATTATGCTAATGAGCTCCTGCTGGGCTTTTTCTACAAAAAAAGCCCTGGCTTTCCCTAAACCCATCGACCTCAGGTGCTTCCTTTTTGTGCAGGGTGCCCTTTCACCAGAGTTCCTGGCATCAAAAGTCCCTCTGTGAGTGCTATAAGTGTACATAGTTACGTGGCCACCGTGATTCATCTTCTTCTTGTTCTGTCTTCTGAGAGAGGGTATCCTGACAAGGGCATATACCCTGCTGGTGATGAACCATGATTTGCCACAGAGTTAAATCCTTCCCAGGGGTTACAAGCCCACCAACCTACATCCTACCAGTGATCTTCCTGAGATGTGTGGCTGCCATGTTACATGAACAAGGGGCAACATGTATATTTACCATGGGCATACTGACTAGGTACATGCGGATATAAATCCTCAACAATCCAGAGGTCCCTATGCTGGGTGGAGTTGTGCCAGCATGCCATTTTCCTAGTGCTATGACAACATGATGGAGCTGCGGTGGCTCAAGTGGTTAAGACGCTGAACTGCAGGCTGTGGAAGGTCGGTAGATCAGCAGTTTGAGACCCGGGTGCCGCATGACGGAGTGAGCTCCCGTCTCTAGTTCCAGCTCCTGCCAACCTAGCAGTTCGAAAGCAAGAAACTGCAAGTAGATAAATAGGTACCACTTCAGTGGGAAGGTAACAGCATTCTGTGCGCCTTGGTGTTTAGTCATGCCGGCCACATGACCACGGAAATGTCTTCGGACAGCGCTGGCTCTTCGGCTTTGAAACGGAGATGAGCACCGCAACCCTAGAGTCGGACTCGACTGGCTTTCAAGCAAGGGAACCTTTACCTTTTTATGACAACATGAGGAACTGCGGTGACTCAAGTGGTTAAGACGCTGAACTGCAGGCTGGAAGGTCAGTAATTCAGCAGTTCGAGACCCAAGTGCCAGATGATGGAGTGAGCTCCTGTCTCTGGTTCCAGCTCCTGCCAACCTAGCAGTTCGAAAGCAAGAAATTACAAGTAGATAAATAGGTACTGCTTCAGTGGGAAGGTAACAGCGTTCCGTGCGCCTTGGCGTCTAGTCATGCCGGCTACATGACCATGGAAACGTCTTTGGACAGCGCTGGCTCTTCAGCTTGGAAACGGAGATGAGAACCGCAACCCTAGAGTCGGATTCAGCTGGCTTTTGAGCAAGGGGAACCTTTACCTTTTATGACAACATGGCCTCAGTGTGGGGACCCCAGTGCTCCAGGGTAGGATGGCACAGGAGACACAATCAGCCTCCATTGATTCTCCAGCTTGTGTAGCAAGGCCATGAGATTGCACAGGAAGAGACTGACACAAATCTGTGAACGTGTGTGGTGACTGTGGTCTTTGGTTTGAGCAGGGAGGAGGCTGTGGAGAAATGCATTTTTCTGTGGTGGTCTGAATTAAGCAAAATCTGTACCTGGTGTCTTTAAAAGTTTTTCTGTTTCGGTTGAGAACAGGTGGGGGGGGGAGTCAATTCAATTGCTTTCCAGCCTCACCTGGGCCACCTTTTAGAAATGCAAATAGGTCTAGCCAGAGACAATGGGATGGTCCCGCTCCCCCTACCTCCAGCTAGACAGGTGATATCTAGCAGGAAACAGAGATCTGGAGGAATTAAGGGCCAGAAGGACTTTGGGAACAATCTCCTGGAGACTTCAGGAAAAGCTTCTTTGACCTTGCCTGACCTGGTCAGTGGGAGGAGAAAGGGAAATGATAAAACTCCTGGGAGTAAGGCGGTGGCTCTCTTTTGGTGCTGATTCCGTCGAGGCAGGCAGAACTCTGAGGCCTGTAGGATCTGATTGCCACATGTTGGCCTGCACACCTCCGAAGAGGCTTCAAGGTAAGGGAACCCTGCAGAACATCTGGTAACATCCTAAGCTGAGGAGCCTGCCTTATATTCAACATCTGATAGGGCATGTATAGAGGGAGGGGCAAAGGAATTGCGTTTTATCCTTTTCTTTTAAATGTCTTGCTCAGACGGGTGCTGCGCTGAGAGTATGCCTGTGAATGATTTATTTTTTAATAAATACTTTATCACTTTTGATACTGGCAGTGGTTCTCAGTAGGACGTAGACCTTCACCGCTTTGGACACACTATTTTAAAAGGAGTGCCAGGAAGAAGGGGAAGGGCAGTCATTGGGCAAGGGGCTACTCCCCCAGCGGTGCACACCGTGATAACCAGATGCTGGATGGCAGGAGACACAGAGGCCAGGCCTCAGAACCTGAAAGGGAAGCTGGGAAGCCGCCTCCCAGTGGGCAGCTCCTACAAAGGCCAGGTGTGGGTTGCGGCTGAACAGAGAGAGAGCAAAGCCCCTCCAGGTGTCAGGGAAACCTTGAGAGACAGTTTGGAATAGTGGTTAGGAGTGTGGACTCTAATCTGGGAGAACCGGGTTTGGTTCCCCACTCCGCCACATGCAGCTGCTGGTGTGACTTTGCATCAGTCATAAGTCCGCTCAGAGCTGTTCTCTCAAGGGCAGTTGTTGGGAGAGCTCTCAGCCCCACCTAACTCTCAGGGTGTCTGTTGTGGCGAGGGGAAGGGAAAGGGATTGTAAGCTGCTCTGAGACTCCTTCGGGTAGTGACAGGCAGGGTATAAATCCAATTTCTTATTATTATTCTTCCTCTTCTTCTGAACAGGTCTGTTCTGCCACAGAGGTTATTCCTTAAGCAAGAACACGTCCTTAATGGACTCCAATTAAAGGGCAGGGTATAAATCCAATCTCTTCCTCCTCCTCCTCCTCCAGTGTATTTTTAAAAATTATTTCTCTTGAGCCTTGCACTTGGGCTTCCAATGTGTGGGGCTCTGCCTCCCATGGTAGCCATCATTTGATTGCGCCCACCACCCTGGGTCAGAACTCCAAAGATGACCACCAGGGCTGCTCAGAGCCACCATGGGCCCCCGGACAAAGGTTCCACCTGGGCCCCCACCAGATGACTCTCATCCAAACCAAATATAACTAAAGAAATCCCCTTGCTTGATGTCACCATGAATCTATAGTAATAAATCCAGGCACTCTTGGATGAAACTTGTTATCTGGATTCATTTCAGTCGGGGCTCAGGCCTGGTTCTGGCCGCCCTGTATGATGATGGCCTATGCTCGGAGTAGGGTTGCCAGGTCTGGGTTGAAAAATACCTGGAGACTTTGGGGGTGGATGCAGGAGAGGGCGGGGTTGGGGGGGGGACCCTCAGCAGGGTACAGTGCCACGGAGTCCACCCTTCAGATCAGCCATTTTCTCCAGGGGAGCTGATCTCTGTCAGCTGGAGATCAGTGGTAAAAGCAGGAGATCCCCAGGCCCCACCATGGTATCCTTCTGGGGCGGCTGGCTAAGTTGTGAATAGGGGGCATCGGTGGCTCGGGATACTTTCTACCAGCTTCAGCTGGTGGCCCAGCGACACCCCAACTTGGACAAGGATAGCCTGGCTTCAGTAATTTATGTTCTGGTAATCTCCAGACTAGATTACGTGGGGCTGCCCTTCAGTTCAGTATGTAGCAGCCAGATTACTAACAGGGCCCTGGAGGTCCTAACACATGAGACCAGTTCTGGCCCACCTGCACTGGCTGCTTGTACGTTTCCTGTCCCAATTCAATGTGATAGTTTTAACCTACAAAGCCCTACACAGCTGGGGACCTCAATACCTGTTGGAATGCCTCTCCTGCCTGCAATCTACCTGGACACTATGCTCAACCTCTGGGGCCTTCTGCCAGGTGCCAACTCCTTGAGAGGCTCAGAGGGTGGCAACTAGGGGAAAGGCCTTTTCGGTGGCAGCCCCTGTCTCTGGAACAACCTCCCTTCTGTGGCCCAACTGGCGCCCAATCTGCCATCTTTCCAACACCAAGTTAAGACCTTATAGAGGCCTTTAAAAATCTCCCCGATTACTCAGGCGCCCAGCACAATTAATCAAGTGCCTTTGTTCATTGTTTTTACTGGTTTTATTATCGTAGGAGTAGTTGTTGTTTATTATGGTCTTTACACCAGCATACCGTTTAGTCAAATAGAAAATACAATAATAAAAAGTTTTCAGATGTAAGAGTTTTTAAGGTGCAATTAGTGCACAGAATTTAGCAAATTGACATGTAATCTTAGAATTTTTATCAGATAAAAAACCATGAAGCCTTGCTTTATTTGTATTTACATGGCCAAGGATCATATCAAGTAACGGAGTAATAATTCCTTGTGGAGTGGACAGCTAATTAATTATTATTAATTATTTATCAATGTTTTTGTGTTATCTAATGTAATTTTTAATTTTTGATGTTTTTATTCATTGCATTTTATTCTTTCGTATCGTTGTAAACTGCCCAAAGAGCTTTGGCTACTGCTGATATAGAAATAATAATAATTATTATAATAATCAGAATCAGAAGAAGAATCAGCAGCAGCAGCGGCCTGTCTGTCTGTCCATTTATGGCTGGCATGCCTCATCAGAGAACTAAGCTAGGAGACTTCAAATTGGCCACCAGCTTCAGGAAGATTCCATGGCCAAATTTGAAATGCATCGGGATATCCTGACCCAAGTGAGACACACAGTGGAAGCTAAGGGTCTCTGTGTCAGTCATAACTCATCAGAAAATAATGCCACACGTTTGAAAACTAGCCACCAACCTCAGAATGATAATGGAAAGTTGCAGTGCCGATAATTAGAACAACCTTAACCAGGTTATCATCACAATAGGCAACATGTAGTAAGAGAGCTTTTAATCAACCTGTCCTGTCTCTAATACTCAGATTCCACCCCGCCATGGAAGTTTGCTGGGTGACACACTCTCAACCAAACCTACCTCACAAGGCTGTTGTGAGGATAAAACGGAGGACAGGATAACAATGCAGCTTTGAGTCCCCCACTGGAAAGAAGACTAGGTATGGAATTTCTTATAGATCTAATTTTTAACATTTAAAAGATTGCATCATTTCCCATATAGCAAAGTAGGCTTTACAGCGAGCTATTAGTGCTTCCACCAACACAACAATAATGATAAAAACCCAGTGCCTGAACTGGGAGTTCTTATTTCTGTTCCATATGTACAACCACTGAAACAGATTAATGTTCCATTATCATGCATGTAAAGGAGGGGGGAAGCATCCTCTTACTACTTGGTTAGAACCTGGGGAAATATTACCTGCTTCTGTTCATAAAACTAACAAGGGTTTGCTGCTACTATACTACTGTTAAAGTACATTCTGTTGCCAAGTGTTAGATCCCCCAAGCATGAGAATAGATCCACGTTCAAAAGTAAAGCAAGATTTATTTCAAAGACATGGTTGATCACGAACACACAGGAATTGATTGGAATGACGTTAGTCAGCAGTACAGGTATAATAAAGGAATTTTGAACAAGGTTTGGACCAATGGTCCCACTTCCCGCTGGATACGGGGAGATTAGAAAGGGCGCGAAGGTACATGAGAAAGTAACGCCCGTTTCCCTAAACACAAGTTCATTTCACACGGGTAAGTCTAAACAAGCATGAGTGCGAAGACATAACTCCCACTTCTCACCAGCTGGCGACCTTGGTTACAGCAGTTGCCTAAGAGGAGGAAAAGTACGAGAGCAAAACAAGGGGGGGGATAGGGAAGGGATGTGAGATGTCCCAGCAGAGAGATGGCAGCTCGCTGACACCAAGTAAGATAGGGATGAGGAAGGAGTTGAGACCAAGACTTGAAAATTAAGGGAAGGATACGGAAAAAATTAGGTGGAGGGAGAGAGAAATGAATGAGAAAAGAGTGGGGAAATTAGGTGGAGAGAGAAAAAAATGAATGAAAAAAGATGGAAAAGAGAGAGGGTGAAATCAAGGAAAAGAGAGGGAAAGATTGTTCTACCTTGAAGCAGCACACTAAGTACCACTTTGCTCCCGTCTTGCAGAACCAGGAGTCTATCTAGCCATTAAAAAATGACCTTTACTGTTCTCAGACTTCCTTGTGTCCCTAGTGGCTGCAGCCAGAATTTCATCTTTGGAAAGGCATTGGGCTGGATGCAGCATGATCCCAGCTGGGGGGGGGGGGGCCTTTCAGCTGACTTGGGCCCCTCGAATTTTGTCCCCCCCAGTCTCCCCTCCCCATTGGCAGCCCTGGTGACTACAGGCTCAAAAGAATGAGAACCTCTGGTTTAGGGCATTAAATGTAAGACCCTATCTTGAGCCTTGCTGCTGTATTTTGCCGTTTCCAGACCATCTTCAAAGGCAGTCCTGCTTAGGGTGCAATGCAGTAATTTAACCTAGAAAGCTGATTAAATACACTTGAATGTTTATCTGCAAACATGTATCCCAAGAGAAGTGGGTCTCTTTGTAGCCCTTTCCTCCCCAAGTGGTCTCTCCAGTATATAGACCATTTTTCCACCTATACCTCGTCAATCATAATGGTAGCTGTTTTGCTACTGTATCCTTTTAGAAGTCTTCTTAATTACTGTTTTCACGACAGAAGTCATAAACAGTGAGCCATCACACACTAAAAGGGAAGCCTAAGATTTGCTACCAGAATCACAACATGATTTTACTGCAGGCACTGCAACATCTATCTTTTTAGAAGGAAGTTCCTTCATGTGGACTTAAATTAGTGTCTCCTTTTTAGAACAGAAGATGTGGCTTCTAAGGTGGTCTGTCAGTTGTTAGTTTGCAATGCCAAGAGATGCAGCCCTTCCATGATGGAAGGATGGGCCCACTTCCCACTTACCTTCCCAAAACGTCATTTCTACCTTGGATTAATTGTATAACACCAGAATGAACTTCATAGGTGCTCGCTTGTTTTTTAAAAACGTGAATTCAAGTCATGCATTTTTCACCTTCACTGTTGATCCCCACTTCAAATATATATTTGGCTATGAAAGGCATTGTGAAGTAGAATTCCCATCATTTGCTTCTTAATATTGTTTTGCATTGTCCTTGTTTTGTTTTGCAGGAACAGCTGTCTGATGACAAGTCACAGAGCCAATTAATGGTAGTCTGAGATGTCTTCCTGTTGGAAAAAATCAAATGTGGTGGCTGGTTTTGCTATAATTATCATCATGTCAGTAATAACTCTTTCCTACTTCGAGAAAATAAATTTCGTTTCCATGTTGGTGCATGAAATGAACATCTTTTCCACGCCAATACCAAATACTACTGTCTGCAAAGGGATTCCTGCCCATAACACCATCACACCCTTGAAAGATAGTCGAACCTTCATAATCGCTCCATACTTTGACAACAGAAAGAACAAAATGACACGAGTGATTTCAATAGTCCACCACAAAGACGTCAAGGAACTTTACTGCTGGTTCTGCAACTCATCCAGTGGAGAAATATACATCTCCAAGGCTGAAATAGATGTCCATTCTGATAGATTTGACTTCCCTTACGGTGCCACGGACTTGAAATGTCTGGAACCAAAAGACTGGGAACCACGTTTCGTGTCAATACATTGGTCTCCTAAAGGAGATATTGACCAGCTACCACTTTTTGAAATAAGAAACCGTGATCCTGAAGGTTCCCTCGTGGACTTCACAGTCTGCATCTCCACCATGTTTGGAGAGTACAACAACGTCCTGCAGTTTGTGCAGAGCATGGAGATGTATAAAATCCTTGGGGTGGGCAGAGTGGTGATCTACAAGAACAGCTGCAGCCCACTGATGCAGAAAGTGCTGGATTACTATATTGCAGAAGGGATTGTCGAGATAATCCCCTGGCCCATTGATTCCTACCTCAAGGTCTCTTCTTATTGGCATCATTCAATGGATCCCAAGGACATTGGCTACTATGGACAAATTACAGCCTTAAATGACTGTGTGTATCGCAACATGTACAGGAGCAGATATGTGCTGCTAAATGACATGGATGAAATAATTCTACCAGGGAAGTATTCAGATTGGAAAACCATGATGCAGAATCTTCAGGAGCAACATCCAGATGCTGGTGCTTTCCTCTTTGAGAATCACATCTTCCCCAAAACTGTATTTACACCCACTGACATGTTCAACATCTCCTCTTGGAGCACAGTTCCTGGAGTTAATATACTGAGTCACGTTGTTCGGGAACCTGACAGGAAAAACGTCTTCAATCCTCGGAAAATTATCATTGATCCAAATAAAGTGGTTCAGACGTCCGTCCACTCTGTTCTCCAGATGTATGGGAATAGCATTGAGGTCCCGATGGATGTTGCTCTTATCTATCATTGCCGGGTTCCTCAACAAGTAGATCTTCCTCGAGAATCACTCATTAAGGACACAACACTCTGGAGATACAATGTGTCGCTCATTGGGAATGTCAACAAAGTTATCCAGCAAATAGCTGTGTAAGCAAGGGTATAAAGCTGAGGGGAGACTCAGATACTACAGAAGGATGATCAGTGCTGAATGGACTCATGCAAACAGTCTATGCCTTTTTAAAAATGTAGGTTGCACAACAATAACATACTGAGGCATGTAGGAGACTGTGCCATGAGGTGGTTGATTTGGGGGGTTAGAGGTTAAAAAGAGGTCAACTCAGGTCAGTTTGGACTTGTCTAAGTCACTATTGCATAGACAATGAGCAAAGTTATTTATTTCCACATTTTAAAATTGTCTGATTTATCACAGTGTTTTTACATCGGGCCTCAGGAATTAACCGATTTAACCTAAAGCAGGAACAAAAGAGTCTGTGTACTTACCTGAAGATGGCTTTGACTACTTTAGCTTTCCATCTGCATACAAGAGATGCCCAGCGCCACTTAGTAAAATAGAAAAGCAGCTTTGGAAGAGGGAAGTTAGCAGCTAAGCACAGAAGGAGAGGCATTGGGGCTTTTCTGCATTCTCATTTTACTGGATGGTAAGTTGCTGCTGCTACTGTTGTTGTTTTTCCTGTTCTGCTTGTATTTTGCTCCCTCTAGTGGTCAATTTGGTATCACACCGTTTTATGCCCGGAATAAACACCTGCAGTTTTAGTATGCAGGGAGATCGGTCAGAAATAAATGTGTGTTATACCGACAGAGGGAGCAAAACACATGAGGAACAGGGGGGAAAACCCTGAAGAAATAGGAACTTATACGTGAGTACAATGAGACTGTAGAGCTGCGGTGTCTCAAGTGGTTAAGACGCTGAACTGCAGGCTGTGGAAGGTCGGTAGTTCAGCAGTTTGAGACCCGAGTGTGCCGCATGACGGAGTGAGCTCCCGTCTCTAGTTCCAGCTCCTGACAACCTAGCAGTTCAAAAGCAATAAATTGCAAGTAGATAAATAGGGACCACTTTGGTGGGAAGGTAACAGCGTTCCGTGTGCCTCGGTGTTTAGTCATGCCGGCCACATGACCACGGAAACGTCTTCAGACAGCGCTGGCTCTTCGGCTTTGAAACGGAGATGAGCACCGCAACCCTAGAGTCAGACTCGACTGGCTTTCGAGCAAGGGAACCTTTACCTTTACAATGAGACTGCGGAAAAGCCCCATGGTGGACCTACTTATTGCTGCTTGATGCTGCTTCTTAGTTCAATGGTAAGCTTGTCAATCGGCCAGGGGCAAACTGACCTGTCCTTTTAAGAGGGGTATAATATTCAGAAGTGGACGGTGGAAGCTTTTCATGGCAGGGAACTGAGTCACATCACCTAATAATTGCTTGCAGATCAAACTGTTATTAAAGAGATAGTTAGAGGGATCAGTTCACAAGAGAGCCAGCTTGGTATAGTGGTTAAGAGTGGTGGAGTCTAATCTGGAGAACCAGGTTTGAATCCCCACTCCTCCACATGAAGCCAGCTGGGTGACCTTGAGCTCTCTCAGCCCCACCTACCTCACAGGGTGTCTTTTGTGGTGAGTGGAAGGCAATTGTAAGTCGCTCTGACACTCCTTGGGTAGTGAAGAGCGGGGTATAAAACCAACTTTTCATCGTCTAAAAATTGCTAATCCTATTCTATTGCCCCCCTTCGGCTGCTTCGCCCTTATGGGGTTCCAGACACATTCTATGGGAACATGAAAATAGACATGCAGTGCCATCCTTATCAGAGTTAGGCATTTCTAAACCCATTGGAAGGTTGGATTTAAGACCCCATCCACATGCTGATTGTGCACTTCCCATTTCCCCTCCCAAAAGCTCTTTTCTTTAAAAATAACCCCAAATGGCGAAGTGGAGTTTATTAGTTGCTGTAGATTTTCTGGGTTGTGTGGCCGTGGTCTTACCATTGTAGAACCTGATGTTTCACCAGTAACTGTGACTGGCATCCTCAGAGGTATAACACAGAAAGATGGAGTCAAGCTTTCTTATCACCCATTACAGGACTCCTGACTGCACTCAGAAAGCTGAAGTGATCAACAACTTATCATGGACCTCAGTAGACTGTAGAAAAGAGGAAGAGTCTGGTAGCACCTTAAAGACTAACAAAATTTGTGGCAGGGTATTACCTTTTGTCAGTCACTGCTCACTTCTTCAGATACCACTAGAATGTGAGTCCACCTGACCTAATGATTGGAAAGTGAACATAAGAGCATAAGAGAAACCAATGTTGGATCAGGCCAATGGCCCATCCAGTGGAGTGATTTCAGATGCCGAATGATATTAGCAGGCATGATTGGATTAGATGTGATATGCAGAGGAGTAGTAGGCATGGAGAAATCAGCCCCGTTGCCAGAGTGACACGTAGCGTCATGTCCTGGTGACGGTGGGTGCAACGCGTCTCGCTGTCCCCGCGGCAGGGATTCTGCAAAGACATGCGATCCCCCGCCGCGACTTGGCAACCCTATTCATCGGGTCACTATAAGTCAGAAGTGACTTGCCGGCACTTAACAGACACAGGTGCAACAAGCATGTCTGAAATCCCCTTTTAAGGTGGAGGGGGAAATTCCAGCAAATTTATATTGGAAAAATGGCTGCGCTTAAACTAAATACATTTAAGTAATAAACAAATGTTATTTTTTTCCACCAATGAACTTGAACTAATTCAGAATGAAATTACTTCACTGCTTGGAAGGGCATATGAAGATAAAATAAAATTCCATAAATATTGTTGAGTGGTGTCTTGGTGCAGAAGCAGTATACTGTTGAACAGATCTTCTCTCTAGGGTAGAGAGGAAGTGGCAGCAAACTAATAGCAGTAAGACAGCGATAATAATAAAAATACTTTCGATTTATTGATCGCTCTTTCCCACACACCTGCAGGCTCAGAGCGATTTACAGTTACTCTTTGACAATTGGACTAACAATATTCGTGGGGGATAGGGAAGACAACATACAGCATTTTTAATTACACACATTGCAGCTAGCCGGGGCTTCGTCTTCGGGCTGGATCAGACGTGTTCCGACGGCATGTATTCTTGTCGGCTGGCTGATTACATCAGGGCTTCTTGATGTCGTGCTGCCACACTGCCACCGCCTGGCCGACTCACTCCACTGCAGGAAAGCCGAAACAGCTCTTTCATCTTTTGATCTTGCCGTGCCTTCGAAGTCACACTCGGCAGCTAACACCTTCCCAAAAGGAGTGGTGTGCCCACCCCCTTACGGGTGGTCCCCAATTTATCTACTTGCCGAAGCTTTCAAATCACTGGGTAGACGATGAGCTAGGACAAGGCTTGGTTGCTCACAGTTAAGCAGGGGAAAAATCCCCTGCGCCACCGCTCCCTATGGGATACTATGTGCATACTGATTTGGAAAAGCCCTGTGGAACTCAGCGGGTGGTTCTGAGTATTCATGATACATATCTACCTGCAGGACAGATTCAGATGGGTAGCCATGTTGGTCTGAAGGAACAGAACAAAGTTTGAATCCAGTGGCACCTTTAGGACCAACAAAGGTTAATTCTGGGTATAAGCTTTTATGTTGCATGCACATGAAAGCTTATACCCAGAATGTGGATGCACACAAAAGTGCACAAAAGCTTATACTCAGTATTAAACTTTTTTGGTCTTAAAGGTGCCACTGGACTCAAACTTTGTTCTACCTGTAGGACTATGAGTCATTTTACGTGCAAGTTAAGAAATCCTCACTTCATGTGACATTTTGGGGGAGAATTAAATTTGTTACTCTCAGGGGTTATTTTGCTTCGTCCTGGTCTATTTCATTATAAGCAAACAGTGTTTTACTCAGTTTTACTCCAATTCGCCTTCATGTTGCATTTTTGCCACTACAGATTAAGTAAATTACTTCTTCACACAATGTGAACAAAGCACAGTTAATCTGTGGAATTCTCCACAACAGGATCTATTGATAGCCACTAACTTCCTTTTCTTTAAAACGAAGATTAGACAAGTTCTTGGAAGATGTCCACTGATGGCTGTTAGGCATGATGTGAAAATGGCACCTCCATGATCAGTAGCAGTATACCTTTGAGTAACCAGTTGCTGGAGAGCAACAGCAGAGGGAGCCCTGGCCTCCATGCCGTTTGGTGTAGTGGTTAGCAGCACAGACTCTAAACTGGGAGAACCAGGTTTGATTCCCCACTTCTCCACATGCAGCTGCTGGTGTGACCTTGGGACAGTCATAAGTTCTTTCAGAGCTATTCTCTCAAGGGCAGTTCTCAAGAGAGCTCTCTCAGCCCTACCTACCTCACAGGGTGTCTGTCGTGGGGAGGGGAAGGGAAAGGGATTGTAAATCACTCTGAGACTCCTTTGTGTATTGAAGGGCGGGGTATAAATCCAATCTCTTCTCTCTTCCTCTTCTCTTCTGTTTGTAGGTCTTCTCAGGGCCTCTGATTGGCCAGGATGCTAGATTAAATAGACCAGTGGTGTGATCCAGCATGGCTGTTCTTATGTTATTTTGTGCCAGTGCCTGCTCACAAACATATGCCATAGGGGAATCGCTCAGTGACCTTGGGCTAATCTCTCTCTCTCTCTCTCTCTCTCTCTCTCTCTCTCTCTCTCTCTGTGTGTGTGCATAGCCTAGCTCACAAAGTTGTTGACTGACCTTGGGCTAATCTCTCTCTCTCTCTCTCTCTCTCTCTCTCTCTCTCTCTCTCTCTCTCTCTGTGTGTGAGCATAGCCTACCTCACAAAGTTGTTGTTATGAGGATATAAATGAAGGCAGGGAGCAGGCCATTGTAAATCACTTTGGATCCCTGCTGAGGAGACCGGCAGATTATAAATAGATGAATTTACTTCTAAATAGTGAAGTGAATTTCTGTGTATGGCTAATGTAGGTTCTATGTGTTTGGCTTTCAGTAAGTGTGAGTTTTGCAGCTCAGATAGTGTCCTCGAAAGCGCTGGCCCTGCAATTCCCGCTGCAAAACAAAAAGCGATCTTTATAGATCAGAAAATTCATTCTCTGCACTTTTTTTTAGATTCCAGCTGCAAATCTGCCACAAAAGCTGCATGCGCTATAATCTGCACCAAGCTTAGGCAGAGCTTCCTCTGTTGGGGGAGAAGAATTTCTCTGCACATGGCAAAATGTACTAATTCCCCCCTTTCAAGGTGGGATTTAAGCAATGACAGTTCACTCTGAAATGTTGACAGTGCTGAACACGCCACGTGATGTTACTTGTTCAGGGGATCTGTTACACCTCTAAAAACGCTGGCTCACAGCACCAGTCATTGCTATCCTGAAGCCAGAGAGAGTGCTTTCCCACTGTTATGAAGGAAATCGGTGATTCCTGTCCCGAGAACAAGGAAAAATTTCAGTGCTTCTCCCTCATAAAACAGTTTGTCGCAGTCTGACTCCAGCTTCTACACAAAAGGGTTGGTAAGACCTGTATGAAAGATTCTTGTGGAAACAGATTTGCTTTTAACAGATACTACAGTTGACTCCCCCCACCCCCCCGGGTTCAGATTTCATAGCTTCCTGCGGTTGAGCACAATGATGCAGCTTCATTTTGTGCTCTGGAAGCAAATTCCTTTTGACGGCACCATTCAGCTTTCTCACCAGTGAAGGTACTCACATATTTGAACCTCCCCCCCCCCCATGATATCTTCTTCCCCTTAAGTGCATGACTTCCTTGCATGTATACCCTCCCAGCTATTTGTGTGGTCATGGAAAGACCTCATTGCTACAAGCCGGTGTGGTGGGGTTGCTAAGGTTGCCAATCTCCAGGTACTGGCTGGAGAGCTCCCGTTATTACAACTGATCTCTAGGCAACAGAGATCAGTTCACTTGGAGAAAATGGCCGCTTTGGAAGGTGGGTTCTGTGGCATTATACCCCACTTAAGTAATAGGTCAGGTTGCCAGCCACCAGGTGGGACCTGGAGATCTCCTGGTATTACAATTGATCTCCAGATGACAGAGATCATTTCCCCTAGAGAAAATGGCTGCTTTGGAGAGTGGACTCTATGGCATTATCCCCCACTGAAGTCCCCCCCCTTCCCAAGCCCCCCCTCCTCAAGCTCCAACCCCCAAATCTCCACGTATTTCCCAACCTGGAGCTGGCAACCCTATGTGGTGCTTAAGGTATCTGAAGTAAACTGGGGAGCCCTGAGTTCAACTCCCCTCTCAACCACTGGGCAGCTTTGGACCAGTCCCCCTCTCTGAGGGTTATCGTGAAGATAAAACGGAGGAACTGAGGACCTTATACCATGAGTTCTCTGAACGAAGGATGGGATAACACTGGGGTACATAAACAAACTCCTCCGCCATCCCAGAGTTTCTTTTTATAGAAGCTAAGATCTGTGTCACAAACATTGCAGGTTTCATTAAAAGTGAATGAAAAAAATAAATTCTGGGCACTTCTTCATAAGTTGCTCACTTATGTTACCAGCCATGTCATTTAGTCTGCATCGTTCAGTTATTTTAGCAAGGCTGAGGTTTTGGAGGGAAATCTGTACATAGCCACTGATGTATAGTTGTTAAAGTGTCTGACTAGGATCTGCGAAATCCAGGTTCAAATCTCCGCTCGTGCCATGGAAGCTCGCTTGGCGACCTTGGGCCAGTCACACACTGTCAGCCTAACCTACCTCACAGGGTTGTTGTGAGGATAAAATGGAGAAGAATGATGTACGCCACTTTGGGTCTCCATTGGGGTGAAAGGCAGGAGAGAGAGACACACAAACACAATTCATGAAAGGGTGACCAGATACATTTTTTGCCTTGAAATTACCCCTACTTAATTTCTGAGTTCATTCTTCCCTTGCAACTGCATCACTTTAAATCAGGGATCCTATTTCAGATAGGGGTGGGTGTGTTTGTCTCTAGAGAAATCCAGGATCAGAGAGACAGCCAACAAGCATTTTCTCAAGGCCATTTTGTTGCAGTCTTGCTCCTCAGGGAACACTTGAGTCAAAATGCCATAGGGTTACCATGTTCGGTTTTTGCAGAAATAAATGTGTCTTGTGGTACCTTAAAGACCAACTAGATTTTATCCCGGTATTGAAAACTGATCCTGGGGAAAAAACCTCGATAGCCTTTAGCACAATTAAGCCTTAGCCTCTTGTTAGTGTTACAAGACTCCTGTTTATTTCCAAGGATGATTAGGAAAGCTTGCAAGTTATCCAAGTCATGCAATCTGTTTATAAGCACCACCACCCCTCCCTCCTTCCCCCAGTCTCTGTCATTCCGGGAGAGGGGAGATTCCTGGCAGCCCCCACGGCTCCTCCCTCCCTCCTATCTATCTGCCTTTCTGCTTTAATCTGAGCTCTGCCAGTGAAAACTTGTCTATGGTGATTCATTAGCCCCAAAGGGCTGCGCACACTCCACTATGTGCTTTTAGCTGCTGGCGTTTTATTCTGCTCCAGAAGAAAAGCCTCGCCTCCTGGAGCGGAGGTGAGTGGCTGAGAAACTAACCAGCAAGGGTGTCTATTAAAAGACTGCGAGTGCACATACAGCGATAGTCCATAAGCGACGAAACAGCTTTCCTCTTTGAAGAGCGTGAAGGAAGGGGAAAGGGTTAAAATAGTTCAGAGTTCCTCAGCCTCAGGTCAAAGGGAAGCATGCGCTTAATTGGTAGCTCTGCTTTCGGCATGAGCCCGGCAATTGTGCATAGCTCATTAGCTGATGTTTTAAAAGCAGCTGGCTGACGGGCTTCTTGCTGAAGTTTCTACAATGAGAGTTGTCCAGCTTTTGCTGGAAAGCGTGCTGTTTCCACAGGAGGTGAGTTGGATGCGGTGAGCGAGGAAAATGGGGTGACTGTAAATGGTGGGTGTTTGCTGTTTAGTATTTGTCTCTCAGAGCTCAGCTTTGACAGTTCCGCAGTGCCTTCCAGAACAAAACTTTGGAAAGCCCTGATGGGGGGTGGGGGAGATTAACAATGTTGCTTCAGCACAATGTCATATGTACAACCTGCCATTTTCTTTAAAGGTCCCTCTCGTTTCTGGGCATTTAACAGCAGTTTCATCTGCAGATGTTAGTTGGTGCTCATGTTTCTCTCCATGCCCTTGAATTGCTTCTGTTGCTGAAAATCTGCAGATTGAATTGCTGTTAAAGGTACGGGTCATCATCCTTCTCTTTGATGGCTTCACTTCACGTGTGTTTGTGACCTCCATATCTGCCTTGTGCAAAAGGAGCTACTCTCGAAATCAGCTGTTGCATCTGTATTTTTTTCTTCTCTTCAAGCAAGACTTGATTGTGCTGGATCAACCTCCTGATAGTTTAGCAGTCCGTCTGCTGCCATCTAGATGTGTTTTGACGCTTCAGGAGGAGGGTATGACAACTGTATTGTCACAGATGTGCTGTTGGGTATCCAGAGGTTTCAGCTCCCAACCAATGCAGTTGCATTAGATCCAAAAGCCAATTTTATCGCAGGTAAGTTGTAAGCTGGGGCCTGCTGCCTGAGGCTGGTTTTAACAATACCTGAATTAATCTGAGTTTGTTAATGTGACAAAAACGCCCAATTTTCAAAAGGGGTAATTATTTATCTAACAACTATTTGTTGATGGATGGCCTGCTTGCCATGTTCATAAAAATCCAAGGTTATGTTCCTTTCCTGCATAATCTGCCTCAAAAGATTGCCCAGGGCAGAGGCTTCAGAGATGAAGAGAGAGGGCTGTGTAGATGGCGGCTGGCTTTTCTCAAGAGCTGCCGGGGACAACGTTAAAAGGGCTGTATCCTGGGCTGCAACTGAGAAGGTTAAAAAAGGGCTCCTTCTTCCAGACAGCAGAGTCATGGGGGAGGGGCAGTTTTCAGCCCACCTCAGTGGTGGTCTGAATGCCCCCTATAGAATAATAGAGTAGGAAGGCACCTCCAGGGTCATCTAGTCCAACCCCCTCCACAATGCAGGAAATTCACAAATACCTCCCCCTCCATGCCCACAGTGACCAGAAGATGGCAAAAAACCCTCCAGGATCCTTGGCCAAACTGGCCTGGAGAAAAATAGCTTCCTAACCCCAAAGTGGCGATCAGCATTTCCCTGGGCGTGTAAGAAAGGGCCACAAGAACTAAGCACTGAGGCAACTTCCCGCCCTCCCTCTCATGATCTGCCTACGTTTACACAATCAGCATTGCTGTCAGATGGTCATCTGGCCTCTGTATGAAAACCTCCAACGACGGAGAGCCCACCGCCTCCCAAGGACGCCCGTTCCACTGAGAAACAGCTCTAAATGTCAGAAAGTTCTTCCTAATGTTTAGTAGAAAGCTCTTCTGATTTAATTTCAACCCCTTGGTTCTGGTACAACCTTCTGGGCAACAGAAGACAAGCAAATCAATTCACTTCCAAGGTGGAGGGAAATATAAAATGAGATTTATGGGTGGGGGAATCTCACCTTCCCACTAGGTTTGCCAGCTCCAGGTTGGGAAATACTTGGAGATTTGGGGAGGGGTGGAGGCTGAGAAGGGCGGGGTTTGGGGAGGGACTTCAATGGGGTGTAATGCCATAAAGTCCACCTGCCAAAGTGGCCATTTTCTCCAGAGGAACTTATCTCTGTCATCTGGAGGTGGGTCATAATAGCAGGCAATCTCCAGCCACTATCTGGAGGTTGGCAACCCTATCTCCCACTCCCTTACAGTACTGCTGCCTCCACCTGCCTGATACACACAGTGGGGGTGAGCGGGGTCCCACTCCTCCTTCCTCCTGTGCTATCGCCACTCTCAGCTGTTTGGCTGCCTGCATCACCACCATCTGCCCCCCCCCAGCTCCATTCGTCCCTCTGGCATCACCATTGCCTTTGCCTGCCTGCTTGCTGTACTGCCCCCTCCCTCCACCCGGCTCACGTGGCAGTGGGCGAGGCCAATGGCTCCCAGGCCTCCTCACTCTCCCTCCTCCTCATGCAGCGGTTGTGGCTCCCACTCTTCCTTCCCTGCCCACCTCCCTCAAAACTGGGGCTGAGATTGCGCTGTGTAGCATCATGCAATGCCAGTCTTTTCCATTTGTTTGTTTGCTTGTATTTTTCTGCAAACCTGGGGTGGGTCACCAGGCCTGTAGAAAAATACCCTTTATGGCTGTGATCGCACACACACAAAATAATCCACTTTCAATCCACTTTCAGTGCACTTTCCAACCGGATTTTACTGTGTGAACTGCCACAATCCAGTTGGAAAGTGCATTGAAAGTGGATTATTTAGTATGTGTGACTGCAGCCTATATTTGCAGTTGGCTCCTGTGTGGTGGCCACTACTCTGGCCACCCAATGAGAAGGGAGCACTTACTGGAGAAGACCCTGATGCTGGGAAAGACTGAAGGTCAAAGAAGACGGGGACAGCAAAGGATGAGATGGTTAGACAGTGTCACGGATGCAAACTTCAGAGCAAGGCGGAAGACAGGAAGGCCTGGCATGATTTGGTCCTAGGCTTCCCAAGTCCCCCCGGGGGGCGGGGAAACCCCCGCCCCAGAGGCCCATTCCCCACTGCCGGCAGATCGGGCCCCGGGGGGAACCCCACCCTGATGTGCGCGTCACCCGGAAGTGACACGACCATGCCGGGCACGCTGGGGGCAGGGCCACGGTCATCCAAGGGAAAACTCTGTGGTTTTCCCTCGGATGGTCGTGGCCCTGCCCCCAGCGTGCCCGGCGGCATCATGTCACTTCCGGGTGACGTGCGTGCGGCGCCTGCGCGCTTTGCGTGTGCACGTGCGCACGCTCCAGCCACGGGGCGGGACTCCCCCGCTACAGAGATATTTCAACTTGGCAACCCTATTTGGTCTATGGGGTCGCGAAGAGTTGGAGTCGACTGTGCGACTGAACAACAACAACCTTCTGTGTGTAGTTTGTTTTTTTAAAAATCTGCACAGGACCAGATTCAGAATTAGATATATGATGCTTCAGAGACAATATTGGAATTGAATTGGGCCTAAATGCATCCCCTAAACAATGGGTACCCCATACTTGCTGATAGTATATGCTGATAGTATGATATATTTAATGGAGTCCTTTTGCTGTGTTCTTTTAGAATGGGCAGAAATACCTTTAGACGTATTTAAGCCCTTCAGAAGTAATCAGCCTGTGGTTAACCTGGGATTCCAGGTGCACCCCAGTTCCTTGAAATTCATAAGAGATCATATCTGGTTAATTAAGCAGTAATTACTCATTCACTTATATATTTGGGTTGTGGATCTTGTATCTGGGACTTTTCCTCCTTGCGTCTCCTGTTTGTTCTTGTTGATCAACAGTGTCAGGAACAGCATGGGGTGGTAAGCAGTGTTCCCTCTAAACTGGGTTAGTGTGAGCTAGCTCACAGTTTTTTAGCCTCCAGTGCACAGATTTTTATCTTATTTCAGGAGGGATGGCTCCAGAGCAAAGTAATTTATGCAGTAGCCAAATCGCTCGCTCATTACTTTAAAGCCAGTAGCTCGCAAAGTAGAATTTTTGCTCACAAGACTCCACAGCTTAGAGGGAGCATTGGTGGTAAGCAGAGGAGGGGCAGGGAACCAGCAGAAATTACCACCCCTCTTCAGAAGACCAAAGTGTCCTTAAGCCTTTGGAACTGTACGGCTGATTACAAACATGCTTGTTTTGACTCTTCACCTGCCTTTTCCAATAACAATTCCCAGTACCTGACCTGGTTTCACAAGAATCAAAGACCTGGTCTTACCTGAAGGAGGGTGCTTTTTTGGGGACTCGGCCAACTCTAATTTAGAAATCTTTGCTGTAAGCCATCCAATGTAGGACTAGCCTGAGGAATATCTGGCATTGTATAGGCACTATTTCAAATGAGCGATCTATATCCAAGGAGGAGGAGATTGGATTTATACCCCGCCCTTCACTACCCAAAGGAGTCTCAGAGCAGATTACAATCTCCTTTTCCTTCCTTTCCCCACAACAGACACACCTTCTGAGGTAGGTGGGGCTGAGACAGCTCTTTGGAGAACTGCTTGCAAGAGAACAGCTCTGAGAGAACTTGAAACCGACCCAAAGTCACCCCAGCAGCTGCATGTGGAGGAGTGGGGAATCAAACCCAGGTCTCCCAGATTAGAGTCTGCGGTCCTAACCACTACCCCAAACTGGCTCTCAAAGATCTCAGTGGTTAGTTTGAGTTGAGACACTCACACATATGCATTCTGAGCTCCTTGGTTTCCCTGCACCATCTAATGCTCAGATAAAAGCTGTCCCACCTGGTTACTACTATTCAGTCTGCTGCATACACTTCCTTGCTTCCTTAAAGTCTGTACGAAGCTTTTTCCCTAACATCATTCCTGGTCTGTTCTGTGCCTTCTTGAATTTATCACATACTTGTCCCTAATTTTCTCAGGTCTGCTGTGACTGTCTACCTTGCACCAGTTCACGTACCTTCTAGGTGCCTGGGATGAGAGGGCTTTCCCCATAACAGTGTATCTGTGGCTGTCCCCACCTAACAATGGAATGCGTGCTCTTCTTCATATACCAATAATGGTGACTTCCACACAGGGATGGGACTCTGTGGTTTCCCAGTTGCTGGTGTAGCTACAGGATAAGTGCTGCAGCAACAGGGCTTCCATGTGGCAGGTTTCCCTGCCCCGAACCTCCAGAAGTAGTCATCCCCTTCACTGGGTCAACAGGGCTTTTGCAATTTTTTTTAAAAAAGCACTAAAATATGGTTATATCAATTTACCAATGTAACAATAAGTGCAGTGGGTTCTCTGAATTTCCAGCTTTCTTTCTTTCTTTTTTTAAAAAGGCAGTCTCATCCGTTTCCCTTGCAGACATATGCCTTTTTCCTTGTATATCCACAGGGGAGGAGGCTAGAGACATACTTAAAAAAAAAAGCTGGGAATTCAGAGAACATGCCTCACCTAGGGTTGCCAGCTCTGGGTTGGGAAACGGAGATTTTGAGGGTGGAGCCTGGGGAGGGTGGAGTTTAGGAAGGGGAGGGGCTTCGGTGGAGTATAGTGCCATAAAGTCTACCCTCCAAAGCAGCCATTTTCTCCAGGGGAGCTGATCTCTGTCACCTGGAGATCAATTGCAATTCCAGGAGATCTCCAGGCCCCACCTAGAGGCTGGCAAACTGACCTATATGATTAATATAATATAATGATCTAGTGCTGATTTTTTAAAAAAAATTGAAAACCCTCAATGGCAGGCAGAGGAAATGGCTGCTGTGTGGACAGGGTCAGGGAAAATGGCTGCCACGTGAGCAGGAAAATCCCAATTTACCCCTCACACAGCAGCTATCCCAGCTTTAGTTTGATCTTCTCCAAAACGTCAGAGCAAAGTAGGCTTGGGAAAGACTGGAGAAAAGCTGGGGAAATCCCCAGAGGTGTACAAATGTATCATGATGCTGTGGAGTACGGAAGAAAATGCTGCTTCCCAAAAGCATTGAACCTGGCGCAGATTACCTATGTGGAAGGCACCAATGTTTGTCTGACCAGTGTCCTGTTTACTGTCCATCACGGTTCTGTCTTTCCTTCTCTCCTCAGTTTTAATTTTCAGTCCTGAACTTTTTGTTTTCAAAAAACACGAGTGTGTCAGGCCATCTGCGGTACAGTCAAACTCAATGCCAATGTTTGATCTCCTACCCTGTTTTGTGTGTTCTTTCCCATCCAGGTGCAAAGCAGCTGCCAAAAATTCTGTCAGGAAGCCAACGGAGAGCCTGAGATGTCTTGGAAAAAATCACACCTTGTGGTCGCTGTTTGTATTGCTACTTGTGCTTCAATAGTGACTCTTTCCTACTTTCAGAGAATAAAACTCTCTTTCATGTCCATGCCAGAAACCAAGCTCTGCCGAGGGATTCCTGCCAAAAACACCATCACACCCTTAAAAGATAACCGAACCTACATCATCGCGCCATATTTAGACAACAGAAAGAACAAAATGATACGAGTGATTTCAATACTCCACCACAAAGATGTCAAGGAACTTTACTGCTGGTTCTGCCACCCATCCAGCGGTCAAATGTACATCTCCAAGGCTGAAATAGATATCCATTCTGATAGATTTGACTTCCCTTATGGTGCCACAGACTTGAAATGTTTGGAACCAGAAGACTGGGAACCACATTACATGTCAATACATTGGTCTCCTAAAGGAGATATCAACCAGCTACCGCTTTTTGAAATAAGAAATCGTGATCCTGAAGGTTCCCTCGTGGACTTCACAGTCTGCATCTCCGCCATGTTTGGAGAGTACAACAATGTCCTGCAGTTTGTGCAGAGCATGGAGATGTATAAAATCCTTGGGGCGGGCAGAGTGGTGATCTACAAGAACAGTTGCAGCCCACTGATGCAGAAAGTGCTGGATTACTATATTGCAGAAGGGATTGTCGAAGTAATCCCCTGGCCCATTGATTCCTACCTCAAGGTCTCTTCTTATTGGCATCATTCAATGGATCCCAAGGACATTGGCTACTATGGACAAATTACGGCCTTGAATGACTGCATCTATGACAACATGTACAGGAGCAGATACATACTGTTAAATGACATGGATGAAATTATTCTGCCAGGGAAATATGCAGACTGGAAAACCATGACGCAGAACCTTCAACAGCAACATCCAGACGCTGGTGTCTTCCTCTTTGAAAATCACATCTTCCCTAAAACTGTGTTTACCCTCAATTATAAATTCAACACTTCCTCTTGGAATGCAATACCTGGGGTTAACATACTGCAGCATGTCCTCCGGGAACCTGAGCAGGAACATGTTGTTAATCCTCGGAAAATGATTGTTGATCCAAAGAAAGTTATTCAGACATCTGTCCACTCTGTTCTCCAGGCCTACGGGGTCAGCATACATATTCCAATGGATGTTGCCTTAGTCTATCATTGCCGGACTCCCTTTCAAGAAAATCTACCCAGACTTCTTCTAATTAAGGACACAACTCTCTGGAGGTACAATATGTCATTAATTGGAAATGTCAGCAAAGTTCTTCAGGAAATAGCATGGAACACAGGAGAATATAGATGAGGGAGACCAAACTGGAGACAAAGATAGCATCTGGGCAATAAATACAGTGAGGTGGAGTCGCTAAGTCAACATGAGCCTCTCCCGGAAGTTCTGAAGAAGAATAACTGAGTATACAGAGTATAGTGGGCAAGCTCATTTTCTGGTTGGCTTAATGGCAAGTGGACAAATTGGTGGCAAAGAGTGGCAATGAGTGGCAAAGATGACCAATGAAGTCAGTTGCAGGAATCTCTTTCTTCTACAAATGCTGATCATCATAGATCTGTGTCTTTCTAGTACTTGAAGGGCCTTTATGAATAAATGACACATGTTATTTGGACTAATGGAACAGTCTTTAATGCATCTGGCCTCCTGGCTTTGTAGTTGGTTCAGTTGGAAGAATAATTCCATCTGCATCTCTCTTTCTGTTTTTTCCCCATCCCATTTCATTAAGAGCTGGGTAGACCAAAATTTGTGGCACTCACAGTGATGGTTCCACTTGTTTCTTGGGTCTACATCAGTTTGCACAGTCCAGCTGTACCTGGCATACTGAGGTCACATAAACTAGAGTATTTTGTTCAACCAGTGCACTATTTTACCTCTGAATAATCTGCCAGTGGTATCACTTATCCTAACTGTCTGGTGCACCTTTGAGAATGCTAACTGAGCTGGCAAATGACCCTTTGTGTGGCAGCAAATGCAGGGGGAAGGGATACACTAGAGAAACCAACATAAAGAATGTGGGGAATAGTATTTGATGAAACGTTGTAGATTCGATCAGGGAAAATAAGAAGCTCCAGGTTTTCCTGTAAACCCTTGGGTGTTAACATGAAAGAAACACATGGAACAAAGAATGGAAATGGATTTAAGTCATGAGCTGGATTTTTGTGACTGTAAAGTTCTTTGTTTAGGTTCAAGTTTTTATCATGGGGGATAATAACTTTCTGGTAAAACACCAAAGGTGATTGTGGGTAGCTAGAAATTAAACAGAAGCAAGACCTGTGAAGGGAGAAATGGTTGACCAACTGCTGTGCTTTTGTGGCAGACTTACTGGAGAAAACCAATACAGCAACAATTCAAGTAAGATCATTTTTGGAAGAACTTAATAAAGACTTTTTGACCTAAATAACAATGGAGCATTTCTGTAGCACCTTAATCACCATTCATATCTTGTTTGTTTCTTTGGTTTTTTAGAAAAGCAAAATCTATGAGGTCAGTTTGGTCAAGAGGTAATCATTAATGTTCACGGCCACAGACCACCAAAATAATTCATATTGGGGGCTGAATTTTTAACAAGGAAAAGGACACTATTTACCTCTTGCATAAGAAAATATAGAACGAAATTCGAGTCCAGAGTGGCATCTTTAAGACCAACAAAATTTTATTCAAGGTATAAGCTTTCATGTACATGCACACTTCTTCAGATACATTGAAATGGAAGTTACCAGTCTATACATATAGGTAGAGGGTAGAAGAAAATATAGTTGTTTTTCTGTGTTTCTGGGCTGCTGCTTGTGGAATATACCCTTAAATGTATTTCTTTGGTGTAACCTAATAGAATTTTTTTTCCAGTGGAGGTGTTACTTTCCCCCCACCATAGAGAACAATGGAGGGGATAGGGGCAACCTGTTTGAGGGCCCATAGAATTGGACCCTCTGGTCCAATGTTCTTCAAACTTGGTTGGTATCTTGGGGAGAGGCTCCAGCAGCTACCCTGCGAGTTTGGAGCCTCTCCCTCAAGCCCTCTTCCCTCCAGCTCCCAGAATATACCTTATGTTTTTGCTATTGACTTCAATGGCCCATAGGATATAATGGGGTCGAATTGCCGCCAAAATTTAGTGGCAATTCGGCGGCAAGCCGATTCAGATCAGAGAATCTGAATCAGCCTGCAGCAGCCCAAAAGGGGTCCGAATGGGCCATTTTCGGGGGTGCATTCGGTTTGGACGAACCAAATGCACATCCCTAGAAAGGAGTTTGTGAGCTGCTCTGAGACTCCTTTGGGTAGTGAAGGGCGGGTTATAAATCTTTGTGTTTGTGTCCTTTATAAAGTTTATTTCTCTGCTACCTGGCATTGCATTTTATGACACACATGGCCTGGCCCAACAGGGTCTCATTTATGTCAGATCCGGCCCTCATAACAAATGACTTTGACACCCCTGAGGTAGGAGGTAATGTGAAAGACCTCTGCCTGAAGCGCTGCTGCCAGCCTGAGTAGACAATACTGGCCTTGATGGATCAGTGGTATGACTCAGCCTCAGGCACCTTCATGTGTTCATGTCACATGTATTTCTAGGGATTCCCAGGGGCAGGGAAGTTCCCTTTTAGAACCAACCAAAAAGTGGGATGTCTATTCAAAATGCCCCCAAAGCAAGATTTAATAAACAAAATTTTTCTGTAGTATTCTAGGGTGTGATGTGCATAGCCCAAAATGGTATGGTGTGCAGAACATTGTGTGGAGGTCAAAAAGAAAAGACTAGATAGAATGGGGGAATTATTCATATTTTTTTAAAATTAATCACCATTACATTATTGTAAAAGAGAAGAGAAGAGTAGCAGATGCAAAAAGTTAATCAGTCTATACATCCCAGTACATATAATACTACATCAAGGATATTGTTACATTAACAAAAATGAAGGTCATAGAGAACATAAAACCAGAGGGGAAAAAAAATTCCAATTTAAAAACCAGCTATATTTTAACATAAACTAACCAGAATCTTTGTTCAGCTGGATCTGTTTGGCAACAACAAACAACAACAAAAAATGATGGTAGAGTAGGGCTTGGAGAACTGAATATGTGGGCCTTGTCTTTTTGTGCCCATATGAAATTAACTAGCATCTTCTGCACTTTTGTCATAAATAACATAATAGGACTATAATAATATCCAAAGATTTTTTTTGCATTTTGTTTTATTGAAGAACTAAATTACAAATAAAGATTACAATTTTAGCTAGTAATATATACATTCTTCTTACATCACAATTTCTTCTTTTGTTTTTTATAGATGTACATGTACATTTTTAATTGCTTTAATAATCAACAATAAAAGCTTTTTTCCTTTCTTCAATCTCTTCAGTTCTTCTGTCTTCTCAGTATTAACCTATGCTGCATTTTAAGTATTTTAAGCAAAACTTTTCAACATAACCACAAAACTGAAACAAAATACACAGGCTCAAAACCAATCATAGTTCAGTCCAAGGGAGGCTTGTAGGCCAAAGGGACTTAACCTTTCACCCAAGGACTGCTGAAGGGAGGGCACATACCCATGCTCCCCGCTACCCAGTTGCCCTATTTCAGATATAACAAGGGCAGTCCTCAGAGAAAAACATGAATGCTTGTCGCTTAAAAAGAGTCTATATGTTCATCCAGCTCTTCTCGGTCTTCAGAGCGACAGATTCTGGTTGCTTTAAACGGAGTGGGAGGTGATCTTGCTTTCCTTTTGTTGTAGTCTCCTGGTGATTTTTTTAAAAATTAATATTTTATTATTTTCCACGTAACATGTTTGCAACAAAAATCTCATACATTTTTGGAACACTACACATACTATTACATCATATTATACACAGTGTCACTGGCAATGTCTGCTTAATATGTATATATTAAGAAAAATATATTAAGAAAATATGTATATATTAAGAGAAAAGTCCCCCCCCCGTCATTGCCGGTGATTGCTTAAAAGACTATTTATTATCTTCTCCTTAAACTCCCAAACAAACAATACAAAAAGAAAAATTAAACAACACCAACAATATTTATACCTTCGTGGTGGAGTTCTTGGAGGTTGCCACCTCCCTATGGGACTTTGGAAATTCCCAAAGGGGGTCCTTCCCTAAGACTCCGCCCTATGGGAGGTAGTGAGGGAGTTCCTCCTGAATGCCTTACCCGCAGTGCTCCTATTATATAAAGATACTGGTGATTTATTTAAAGCAGCCAGCAACTGCTCTCCAAATGCCTGGTCAAAAGCTGTATAAATCACCTGCTTATATTCCACACAGAGTTTGCCTGTGTTCAGCCAATGATACTTGATGCCTAACTCCTGGAGTTTTGTTGTAATTGGTTTCAAGTCCCTTCTTATCTTGAGGAATTCTGGTGGCAGATCAGGGAACACCTGTATCTTTACATCTTGATATTCCGAACCATTTTTTCCTCGTGCCTGTGTTATCCATTGTCTGGTTCTGAAGTCCTTGGAAACTACAACAATGTCTCTATAATAAACTGAAGCATCTGCTGTTTCCTCTCGTTGTCTGCCCACCCGATAAGCCATTTGAATTAAACGAACCACTCCTTCCTCCAGATTTAAAATGCCAACCAGCCAATTAGCAATAAACATTTTTAGTTCTGTTCCTTCTTCAACATTTGGTTTAAATCCTCTGAATTTCAGATGCAACTCACGGGAACAATAATCCAAAGAAAGAATGTGTTCTGCAGCCCATAAATCAGGGGAGCTGCAGGCAGTTTGTTTCTCCAACGCAGATACCTTCTTTAAAGCGTTATCAGCTGTTTGCTTAGTTTGCTTAAACTGTTCTTTTAATTCATCCATACACTGGAATGCTGGTTTTAGCATTTCCACAATGTCCATTCTTAACTCTTGTCGTTGTTTAGCCAAGGCTTCTAAAAGAAAAGTTGTTGTAAGAGTAGTCGCTTCCTCATCAGTATTTCCTAAGTCCATTGTGGAGGAGGTTCCAGCTTCAGCTTGAGCAAAAAAAACTCTGTCAAAGAAGGTATATTATCCATTTTTTGCTTTGCCTTCTGCTTCCCCTTCTTATCTTGCCTTGGAGGCATGTTTTCAGAATCTCAAATAAATTCAAAAGGGTTGAAAATAATAAATTAACAATGAACAGACGGCGAGCTGCGGGTAATATCTGCCAACCACCACTGGTCGTAGCCCCGCCCCCATAATATCCAAATATGAATAAAATTTTGACAGATTAATCAATTTAGGTACTATAAGGCTGCGGTTAGATGACAAGCTTGACATGCTTTGGCTGCGCTTCTAATTACACCATTTTATTTTGTCATGGGGAATCAGACATCCCACCTTGAGCTGGCTTCACTGCACGCTCATCCTGTGACTGACCATTCAGATTATTGCTGCATGGCAACCATGGAGTGGGTGGGCAGGAAGCAACCTTTTTAAAATTTGTTTTTCACTAATGCACATGAGTGCATACTCAAAGCACACTCCTTTTTTGAGGTTGTATTTTTTCATATGTGTGTGTTTGCACATGTGAGTGTATGTGTACATGGAAGTCATGGCAACCTCTGGTGACTGACTGTGTGCACCTAGAAGTCCTGGTGACCTCTGGTGACTGACCCCTACTGGGAGCTTGGAGGATATTCAGAGAGGTGGCTGAATAAAACCTACCCCCACCTCCCGACTGCTGGTATTCCAAGGAGGTCTCCCATCCAAGTACTTGCCAGAGATGCTGCTTCTTAGTTTCCAAGTTGTGATGAGATTGGGCTTACCTGGGCTATCCAGGTCAGGGCAAAGCATTGCTCCTTTTTGACAGCTCAGCTCCACCAGAAATCAAATGAGGATTCCAAAGTGACAGCTCTGGCCCTGCCCCCTTAAGGGCATGCCTTCAAACTCCTGGCAAGATGGCAGCAGCTGGTGGCCAATGGGATTGCTGGAGGAGGCTGTTGGGATATGTAGTGCAGCATACAGGAAGTGTTTTTGAAACTGCTTTGGAGGTTTTCTTAAGAAAAACATTCTTAAGAAAAACAGTCTTGAGAAGCTTCAGAGAGAGAGAGAGAGAGAGAGAGAGAGAGAGAGAGGTTTGTAAACTATCTGTAAAAAATAAACACATAAGCTGTGATTGAAGACCCAGGGGCAATTATGTGCTTATGCGCACATCACTACCTGATCAAAAAAAGAGGGGACAGAAACAGATGGGAAGGTTCACACTCCCAGGTGGCTTGATTTCACAACAGGGGAGTTTAGGCATCCAGAAATTCAGGATGAAAGCACAGGCATCCATAAAGACCAGACTTTCCCTGGTGCCTGCTAACTCCAATTCCAAGGCAGGCCAGAACAGGATGGCACTGACTGGGGAACGGGAGGCAGATGTCTCTGTCTGATTGTGCACTTTAAATCTGAAAGGGAACAGCAATGACATCAGTTCAAACTGCTCATCTGACCACAGCCTAAGTCACTCAGTCTTGTAGTAATGTCTTCTAAAATGAGTAATATGCATATTATCAATATAGCGTTGGAATGAGGCAAACTTATTTTACCTTCGTAATAAAAACTTAAATAAAAAGGGCCAGAAGAAACTGGGAGGTGAGAGAAGAAAGTAAATAAAATTTCAGAAAGAAAAAGAAATGCTCTCTCACACACATTTTAAAATGACAGCTTTCAGTGTAATGACTGTTTAAGTATATATATACAGCTACGAGATTTACTACGTTATTTTTCTATATTATTTGAAATCTGAGTCAGTCCCATTCTAGGAAAACCTCTGATTTTAGACCAGGCTATTACTATATACTTCTATATCTTTATATTCCCCATGGCCATTTCTGTTTTTGCTTAATCATTAATGAGTTCAAATCAGTCCTCTCAGATTCCAGTTCTTACAATGTTTCCTCAGATGGTCTTTGATAGACCAGT